GAAGGATTCAGAGTGGGGGACAGACAGTGAAACAGCGGTAGAATCATTGGGTTTTAGCTCCTGGTGGCAGCCAAAGAATTGTTAAGGTTGGGATACTAGACAGCGTGAGTTGGAAGGACAGAAGGTAGTGGTTGGACAGTAGAATGGTTGCAATGGAGATAATGGAGATGTTGTGATTATTGCTAATGATACAATCTAAGTTCTAACCACGGGAAGGGTGGCTAAAATAAGATGGAGAAAAGATCTTTGGAGGAGAGGAGGTAAAGGTACAAAGGTGGTCAAGGGATAGATCATATCTGAGATAGTGACACCAAGAATTATGACAGAAGTAATGATGGACAGCTTGACAGAGCCAGAAGCTAACATCAAGGAATGGTGAGGGAGGGGAGAGGAACAATGGAAGACCATAGTATGGAAGGATAGTGAATGGCAAAGTCTAAAAACATGAGATTTTAAGCTAGAGGTTTGTAGAGAGGAGGGAGAGAGAATGATCCAGAAGCCATAATAAGAAGCAAGGAACTTAACTACCCTTAATGCACAAAGGATGTTGGAAAGAAAACCAGCACCACTTGAAAGTCCTGTAGAAAAAGAAGTGTCTTTACAGGAGAGCAGGTTTCAGTTAGAATAAGAAGGTGATGGAAATGTTAGTAGAAGTAGAGAATAGTAGGGATTTGCTGATGATTGATAGTAAGTTCCAGAGGGCACAGTGGCAAAGTTTCGGAAGTTGGGAATGAGTTGACGATGGGGTCAGAAAAGGGAAAGTATAGAGCCATATGGGGCTTAGAGTCCATGAGATGAAGGATAGATCGGGGGTCTTGAGCTTCTTGTGGTTAAACATAAATAGGGAAAAAGGCATGATGAAATTAGATATGGAGATATCAAGACACCATGATGGAAAAATTGTCAGTATTGTGGGAGGAAAGAGGTGATGGTGTTGCCAGGATCACACAGGGTTCTGAGGTCCCCTCTTCACTGGGTGATGGAAGTGTAGAGTCCAGGGTGGAGCAGACTTAATCTGCAGCAAGCAGAACTCTGGGATTCCTTTTTGATTCTTGTGGATGATGGTGTGGGAGCTGGAGAAAGAGGAGCAGGTCAGCCACATACAGCAGCTCAGGTTGTGCTTTTTACAGCTCAAGGGTGCTCCATTCATATAGGCTCTAATGTGACTGGCACCCCAGGAGGAGTGCAATTTGACTGCCCTGGAAAAACACTCTCTGTGGCACCCCAAGCACATTACATGTACAAGCTTATTACATTGCTGGAATTTATTATTATTCATCTTGTAATAAGACTGTGAATCTCTCATGAGTTAGGGATGAAATTCTCCTATCTCTCTTTTGTGGCTCCTGACATATAGTGGGTTCTTGGAATAGGTGTTAGTTCTTAACTCCTGAGTCTTATCATCATGGCCCCAGAAATGCAAAATAACTAAGAACCTTGAAATGGAAATGCATGATCTCTTGATTCCTTTTCTAAAGGTTCATCAGGAATATCCTCCTGCCTTCTACTCCTATGGGTTCCTACAAGCTAACAAGCAGACTCTGCAGTCTTTTCTTGGCCTGGAATGATTTCTTTCCAGAACAAACTGAATATGGTGGGATTTGCTGACCTGGTGACGTCATTTCCTCTTCCGTGTGTCTCATCCCCATGAGCCTAACAGACACAGAAGTGCTATGCGAAGGCCCTGCACCTATTTTGCTTCCATTTCCCTTCTCTCTTTGAACATTGGTGGGAAATATCATTCCATTCACTTCCCTTTTCTCTTCTCTAATTGTTCCCCAAACAATATTTGTTGAATCAATAATGAAGGGGTAAATCAGAATTTTTTCTTACAAAAGAAACAACAATCATGATAATCTGTTGAACTTTCTGAAGGAGAGAACAGAACTGTAGTTACTAGAGGTGGGAAAGGGGGATGGGGGTAGGGAGAATTGGTTAATGGACACAAAGAATGATTACGTTTTGCAATGATGAATATGCTAATTATTCTGATTTGATCATCACATATTGTACACAAATACCGATAGTCAACTCTGTACCCCACAAATCAATTGTTTCAATTAAAAAAAATAAAAATGCATAAGAAAAGAATTTTGTCTTACAAATGAAGGAAAGCTTCATAGTAGTGAATATTATTTGAGGGCTACCACTCTTAGGGAAAACAAAAAATTCATTTCACACAACTTTCCTGTGTGATTTTAAGAAATGCATTGTAGCTGAATGCAGAGTTTGCCTTTAACACAAAACTCCAGCCTACCATTTTGTTTTCTTTCTTTTCTTTTTATAGGGAGAAAGTATCCTCGCACATATGACTATTAAGAGATTTGAATAGCATCCATCCAAGGGTCTTGCCTTTAGCCGCTGCAGCTCCTGGTTTTCTCTTGTGGATGAGAAAGAGGTTTTTTTTTTTTTTTGTCCTAGACACCTACCTGTTATAAACAGAAAAAAGTAAGGAGGTAACAGGTCCAGTATGTTGCATGTTGACTAATAGGAGATCCCATATTTTGCCTTTCTTAAGTCTGTATGTTGAAGTCTTGTTTCTTTACCTGTATTTCTTTGTTTTATTTATAAAATTTACTTTTATTTGATCTTTTGCTTCTCACATGTTAAATTCTGAGTAAAATCCAAGACTCTTCACTGCAGAATGAAAGAAGATTAAAAGCCTGATGAACTGTCTATTTTGTGTTACTTCATTAGTATGGTTTTTCATGACTGATGACTTGCTGAGGAGTTCGGAACAGGGAAAATCTGCTCCAAGTTTTCTCAAAGCCAGATTTTTTTGTTTTTATTTTTTTATTATTTTTATTTTTATTTATTTATTTTTTTTGTCTTTTTTGTCTTTTTCCGTGTCCGGCAACGGATCGCAAC